AAATTTTTATTGGGTCATTTTAGATGGAATCTTTCTTAATTTTGTTCATCATTTTATGTGACTATTGTGAGCCATGAGGTTCATGGTTAAGCATCAGGTTATCAGCTATGGAGGACCAAGTTTCTGCAAATCATTTAAATTAGGATTGTGCAAATGATCCAATTTTGTTTTGTTGGGTGTTCATATGATGGGATCCATGCATACCATCTGGTTTAGAAAGCACTTTTGAACTTTTTATATGGTCCATTGTGTAATGCAGCACCTTGCACTGTGGTACAGTGGTCAGCTTGTAGTCTTGGTCTTCTTACATGACATTCTCCTATGTCAAAAGATGAAGGCGGCATTCATTTATTCCCATTACAAAGAGCAACATGTTTGAAACTGCATCGTTCAACTGAAGTCAGATTGGTTCAACTGTTTATGGATTTCCTGAGTGGTGATGTAGAAGTTTCCAAAATTGACAGAAGCAGAGGCGATGATATAGCAGTATCATTTGCCTGTGCGGCTCCATTATCCGGGTAAGTGCTTATTACTGGATATATAAGTAGGTGACCCAGTGGCACGTGCCTCTGATGTGTTTGCTATACTCTCTGGAGTAGAGTACTGCTCAATTCGCAGCTGCAACTTCGCTTGGTTGTATCAGCAGATTAAGTTAGCTATCTTCATACCGCCATTTTACCTTCGTTGTTGAATTGCTACCATGTGACCATGTCTTGCTGACTGATATGGCTCTTGATGTCACGCTTCCTTCTCCATTTTCAGCTTCATTTAGTGAAATAGTATATGTTTTAATCGTTACACCAAAGGCCGGGGTGTAAGTGAAGAACGCAGTCGTGGACAGCAGGTGTCCTTCGACTCTGAACACAGAGAGCATAGAAGCATCTTCCTTTCTGGGATGCGAGGCGCGTGCAGTGGCCGGTGGGAGAGCAATAAGCTCACAGATTCTTCTGGGGCAGGTGTTGGATACGTGCGATTACACAATCCTCTTGTTTCGTGAGTTGGGACTTCACCTGCTTCTACTTGTGGTTCAGTCTCGGATGGGACCTGGGCACCTGGCTGGTAGAGCTGAACACGACGCCGTAGTTCGTTTATCCGTGGGCGGCTGGTCGACGGCAACGCCGCTGAACAGTGCGGCGAGGGGAAGTGGTTGCTCGATGGAGCATTTGTGGACTTGTGTTGGTGCTCGACGTCGGAGGCAGTCGGCGAAGGTGTCGCAGAGCTACGTGTCGATCCCATAGTTTGGTGGCACGGCACGGGAACTCCAGAAGAAAATCAAACAAGAGGAGCTGGGTGGAATTCAGAGCGTTGAAATGGATGCATGACTTACGAAAGTTCAAATGCAATTTATTTATGGTGCGATTGTGAAGGGCACGGTTCGCGTAGCTTGCCTTTCTGCAGGGAGATCTAAAGACACGAGAATCGTCACAGAGAGTAGTAGTGTGTGTGTGTGTGGATATAGAGGATGAATTCTACTATGCGTTGCCGAACATTGGATTTGCGGTCTAAAGGAAACATCAAACATACGTGAGTGAAATCATCAAGAAGTACCAAACAGTAAGAAATCATCTGGTCGACCTGAAGATGCCAATCAGCTCACCTTGCACTGCCGACGCATCAGCAATGCTTGTTTCCATCACCTGCCTCCACCAGTTTAGCTTTCCATCTCGCATTCTGAAGTATCAGCATGTGTGTTCTTTCAGTTTAGCAGTGCGAGTTTGCAGGTAGTCTTCATAGGGTTTAAACTCTGAATCTTGAGCCAACTATGGATGTTTTCTAATAATTGTGTACAACAATATTCTAAGCATTCGTCTGAATGTTTACCGTTAAGTTGATTGGCTAGGACATCATTGAGCTGGGTATTCAGAACAGTATTCAGCTGAGTTTGGAGCAGACTGAATTTCAGTTTGCTCTGTCCAAAGAACTACATATCTTTGTGCTCAAATTTACTGTTTCGGCTGAACCTTAGCCTTAGAACTTATTTGTGAAGCTAATTTATTTTACTAGTCTAAAATATTATGGGAAGTTAAATTTATAAAATATTATTGAAAGTTAAATTTATTTTGCTAATCTAAACTAATAAATACACAAATGAAGCAGACTGGATGAGATGGATGGAAAAACTGGTTTGGTTCCAGAAGTTCATGTATTCTAAGAAAACAAAATATTGATATCTGTGGAAAAAACAACATTGTCCTCATCTGGAAATGGGTATAACCACAATGGCAGCATCAAAATAATAGACAAATTGATGATGTTACTGATATTAGTTCATCATTTTCTAATGCTACATATGGATTCACATTGGACTTGTCATGAATCGTGATGTCATTGTTCATCCATGTTTTACTGACTAATTACTTTTTGAGGAATCAAAAGGAAAAAAAAGCTATGGAAAACTGGAAACATTATGGACACACAGGCCAAGGCTAATCAACTGAAGAAGAGATATTTATTTCAACAAAAGAATCAAAACCTCACCACCATTATTTCAGGGGAAAATTGGTTTCGTAGCATCGAAAGAACACGACATTCGAAAAATACCATTGAAAGTTCATCCTACCGTAAAATAACATTGAAAGTCACTATCCGTTCCGGAATCTAGCACTCTGTTACTTTAGCTGTTAACGTCGTTGGTTGGCCTCCGTCCGTCACCTCCACTTGACTCAAAAACGAGCAGCAGCCACGGGAGGATGTGGACAACAACCTTTACGACCTACGACGGCAGCGGACATAGAGAACAACCTGTACGACAGCACCAGTAGAGCAAGGACATGCCCATGGGCCTGCTGCTGCTGAACGGCGCGACAACCGCCGGCCGTGACATTGGCTGCTCGGGATGGGGCTTCATGCGGCAGCTGGTCCTCTGTACTCGCCGCCGATCATCATCACCATGCACAGCTACTCCATGAAAGAGTGGCTTACTGTCTTGTGACCCAGTCCGTCACCGCGTTCACTGAAAGGAGACGGACCTGCCGGGGATGAGTAGCTTGAGTGTCGACGTGTCGCACACCGCGTGACCGCGCGTCCACGCTCTCTACTCTCCTGCACGCCTGGAATTCCCATTCCAGCTGCAAGGTGCTACTGCAAGTCTGCAACAGCACATGGATCGTGGAGGCAATGGAGAAGGATTCCTGTGATAGATTCATATGAAATGAAAAATTAAGCACATGAATCGATGGAAAGTAAACACGAATTTGAACCAATATACTATCGAGCACGAATGGATATATGTGCGATCACTCACGTGCGCTTGAAGCTGGTCATGAACCTCAGACAGCCGACCATCGTAGCTACTGGGAGACGGCGCCGTCGCGGGTGAATCGGGGAGCGCGGCGGCTATCGCGTTACTTTGCGGCGGGGCTGCAGCAGCAGCTGTCTGTTGGGCCTGCGGGCCGTGGCCCTGATGCGAGTGCGCCACTAGGGGCCTGCGCGAGGCGTGCAAGGACGACGACGCCTGTGGTGCGCGCTGCCGAGAAGCTAGCGTGCGTGTCGCCCATGGCCGGTCTCCTCTCCTGTGTGTAAGGCTGGGCATTCGGGTTACCCGACACGACGAGCCCGGACTGGGTGCAGGGTGTGCCAGACGGAGGAGCAACGCGTCGCATCCAAGTGCTCGGCAGCGGTGGTGAATCAACAGGAAGGATTGGAGAGTGAGGGAGGAGGATGACGAGTGGGGCCCTTCTGTCTACGTGAGGTGGAGTTGGCTTTGGTGGACGCCGTTAACAGCAAGGAAACAGAATGCCAGATTCAGGAACGGAACACCACTTTCAGTGCTATTTTACGTGACGGCGAACTTTGGATGGTATTTTCCCGATGTCATAATCTTTAAGTGCTATGAAACCAATTTTCCCTTATTTCAGTGATCACAATAAGTCAGCTCATTGTCCAAATCTCTGACTGATGATGTCTTGTGCGTATATAGTCCACATCCTACGGCTAACAAATAACTTGAAAGTAAAATAGTATCTCAATCTATCAACTATTCTATACCATTACTACTGCAATTAACAAGGAATTAATTAGCCCAGTTGGATAGCCATCACGACAACAATAAAACAAAATGCTTGTATATTAGATATTCTAAGCACACGATTTTCATCAGAGAGAATTCACATCTCAACATTAATTCTTGGATCATGTATACAAGGCTACCACCTCCATGAAGAACCTTGAGCAAAATCACCCCATATCTGGAGTGAGAAAAATCGCTAACATGCACTATAAAGAAGTGGTAATCATATATCGTATTTTTGTTCAAAAGAACTAAATATCTTATTATTGCACTCAGAGTTTCTCTGCAAAAAGAACAGACTGCTTCGGTTTTCTTAGCCACCAAATTTAAAACAACAGAACATAGGGCTTAGGCATCGATAGCACACAACATACCTACTGACAACACTATAGAAAAAGTACATATCACATTATGCAAAACCAATGTAGATCAATAGGGCAAAGATTGGACAGGCTAAAATGGCAGTAGAGACTGCACAGTTTTTTTTTTTTTTTTTTTCGGACAGCTCTTTCTTTCCTGTCAAAAGTGAATTCTGAGGATTGTGATTTTTACATGCCTCTAAAAGAGGACATCTAGAATGATAATATGAATTCTATAGTCATTTCAAAACGTCAGATTAAGATCTTAGTGATGTAATAAAAATATTGTTGCAGCAATGTGGTTACCAGCTAATGTTCTATCACCTCATTAGTCATTGATTTTAGACTTGCCAATTACATGTAAATGATAGAAGACCACACAAGGAAAATGACTGACAGAAAAATATTGCTTAGGCTGTAGATAAAAATGTCATAAGTCATAACATTAATTAGGTACCATAGATCCATATATGGTGTGGCAGTCAGCCACCACCAACAACAAAAGACAAGTTTTGCAAAATGTAATACCCTCAGCCCCTAATGTCCCTTAAAACAAAGCTAACGATTCAGAAGGATGGTTATAAACCAAACTAACAGTTCGAACGATGACCTAATTCGACAACCAAGGCAAACTAAATCTTACGAGATTTGGCTGCTTTCTCCCAAATCTCTATAGTTAGAGCAGGACATTCTCTTTTGAGGTCGTTGTACCCTTGGCTTGCCACCACATCATCCATTCTGTTTGAAGAGTTGATGAATTGAAAGCAGGCATCCTTGAGCTTGCTGCAGTGATGCTGATCAGCTAGAATTATAGTGGTTGCAATACTGTCAATGGCAAGCTTCTTGCAAAGAATGCTCTCGCACATCAACTTCATCCTCTCCAAGCCATACCTATCAGCAGCCACAAGCAAATGCTTGACCATTTCATGATGGTCCTTTGCATCAAGATCATTCATGATGGGCAAAGAATCAGTGTAGATGAAGTGAAGCAAGGCCTTGAAAACAGGAGGCTCTATATCTTCAACTACTATGCCCCCCTTTTTGTTGTGCCTCATCGGTCCATAGAGCTCAGCCTTGAAAACGGGCGATCTCATCGCAAGCACAATTCTGTGGGCTTGGAACACCTCTTCTTTAACCTTGAATGTCACATCCACCCCTTCCTCCGACTCCAGAAGCTTTTGAAGATCATCCTGCAGATTCGGTGGTGGCACATCAATCTCATCCACCTTGATTACAGTGAGGTCGCACTCGATCTCGAGGCAGTCATCCTTCAGGTATCCTGATGCTTCCAGATCGCTCTTGATGATGAACTTTCGGGGGCCCCAGCTTGGCTTTTCATCGTTGAATAACGCCTTAGATGAGAACAAGGAGGATGAAAGCCCAGTGGCCTGGTTGACCAGCCTGAAGTCGTAGAGCACAGTCGCCTCGGTATTTTTGCTGACGAGCTCGAGGAAGACGGAGGCATAGTTCTTGCAGTTGTCGGCGTTTCCGTTGGGATAGTATTTGATGCACCAGTTGTGGTCTCCGGCGGAGAAGGTGGCAGAGCGGACGCTCATCCCGACCCCGAAGCCCTTGTGCACGCTCCTGCCAACGACCTTGAATGAGTGCGTGACCCGCGCGGTCTCCGCGGCGGCGCACATCGACGCTATTCTCGTGCTTGGCCTCTCTGGTGCGGCTGACATTGGTGGCGTTGCGCTGAGAAGTCGGGAAAGAAGGGAATGGCGGCGAGGGTTTTCAGCGAGCTGAGTCGGCTGACATTGGTGGCGTTGAGAGCAGAGAGGGTGAGGAAGAAGGGAACGGCGGCGAGGGTTTTCAGCGAATGCTTCCGTCCCCAACACGAGACAAAAAGCACGCTGAGTCTTCGGCGGCCCACTTGGGGCTCGATAAATTTTTTTAACCTCACGCTTGCGGCCCACTGTCAAAGCCCGATCTGCTTCTCGGGTCTGGACGTGAGCAAATCTTGTTGACCCTACAGCAGCATGGACACACCTGTATTTGCTGCTCTCTCTATTCTAAATTACTAGATGATATCTCGGAAGTTGCTATGGGTTATTTAGATATAAAATTTTAGTTTGAAACATATGTGAATCCTAACTACTATGTTATAAATACTTCCGAAAATATAAATTAAGGAGTCTGAAGGACTATGCATAGAAAAAGAAAACTAACATCACCATCATAACTCAAAAGGCAAATGAAAAATAAAAACATATTAATCGTGACAAATGCATCTCTCTTGCTTTATGCTTTATGCTTTACGCTTTTAGCCTCGAAAATTTTAAACTGCCACTTATGTCACCTATGAGACAAATATCACATAGCTATACATGGAATGGAAATACTCGTGAACGACATTTGGGTGCTCCCATAAACTGATGAACGATAGAAAAGCATATACAACAAATCATATAACAACGTTAGATGAAGAAAATTTAATATAATAGATTCGATTAGCACTCGAATACTCAATATGGTGACATGCTCTGTCAGAACTGTCGCAGCCTAAATCATTATGTTATCTCCATGCATGCTGGATCATTAAAATAACAATTCATGGAAACTCAGTGTCACAGTGCAACGTTTCTATAGGTGAGCCCATATTCATTCATGCTGGTATATTACTTTTACTCTATATCTACATAGTATATGTATAAGTACATAGAAAGAGCTACTGTCTAGAAAGTACACGTACTTCCGAAAGATTACAAATTCTAGATAGTCTAAGTCAAATTATTTTAAGTTTGGTTAGTTTTTTTTTAAAAAAATAATATATAAACAGTGAAAATATATTTCATGATGAGTTTAATGACATCCATTTGATATTATTAGAATCATGTTCATGCGTTACAACAGGGAAAAAAATGCTACGATAATGCAAGTGTGAACATGCGTTGCACTATTATAAAAGGGGGCTTTGGCATTCATACCCCATTGTCATGAGAAATGTTGTTTTTTCCCTATTTTTTAACTTTATGATTTTACCCTTATGATTTTAAAACAAAGTAAGAGTTAACCCCTATTCTGTGAAGTCCTTATAACATTGTTAACTTTTGAACAAAAAGATTAGTTTGTTGATGTGATTTTGCTCATGTTTTATTTTGCTCTTTGTGTTTTACTTCTATTTTTAAATCAACGGTGTCAGGCCCTGGTCTTGACACCCTTGTGAGCATCAGCATCATGAGCATTGTTGGTGTATATTAACGCACACAAAATAATTCTGAAGCGCATGAATATTATACCGATGTAGCACTTCACCGGGAGTATCCCAGTTTTATATTGAACTCCAGAAAATGTGTGTGAAAATAACTGAATCTAACTTAACCCAACTTCGCAACAAGGCTTAGATAACAGGAGGATAAAGGAGATTACAAGGGTCTTCTAGTTCTAACTTCGGTAAACTATGTTTTCTATTATTCAATTCTGGGGATATTACTAAAGAAAACACAGGCAGAGTATGCTTTCTACAGTAACAAGGTCCTGCTAGGCCTATAAACGGGAGGTGGACTATAAAGGATTCAACGAGGCTATAAGAGTCACCCACGCGAGCTACCACTGATCCAGAAAAGGAGGGTACATCCACGAGTAACCGAGTCTAAGCACCACCCTTACACTACGAATACTACTTTAATCTAGGAGCTACAAGGATTAAAGTACTCAAAGAGAGTTGCAAACCTGAAGAACAATATGAACAAGATGATTACTTGAAATAGAAGTTGATTACCAGAGAATCTCAGAAGCAGGCTCAAGAAAAATTTGATTCTGCCACGGTATAAGCTATAGAGAGAGTACCGATAGACCGGCACTTCCTCCAAAGTCTTCCTTCTTACTCTATCTCTAATACAAGACTAAATCCTATTGATGACTAATCTTCTCTTGATTACTAGCTACGATCCTGGTGGAAATAGGAATTAGGGTTTCTGGCCCTTAAACTCTCAGGATCAGTGCCTTCTGAATATGCCTGGAGGAGGGGGGTATAGGCAGGTATATATAGGGCCCTTCAAGCATCCTAGACCTTCGGATCAAACCAACATAAAAATATGGCGTAGATGTGATCCTAGAGGCGGTGGAGAACCAACGTAGCGAGGAGGGACCGATAGGTGGGACGCACAGGCCGACCAGCCCAACATGGCAGTGGCTTTGGCCCTGCTTCAGTGGAAAGCCTCTTAGAGTCTTCTAGAGTCTTCCTATGTTGATCCCACTGCGGAATTCCGTGATTTCCTTTGACGAATAGGTCCTCCTTGATGATTTTTTGATTAAATCCTGTTGAAAACACGGATTCACCAAAACTCGTGGAATTTGTCAGTCAAAACCCCTAAGTCTATGTTGGTGATCTATTTTAGTCATTTATGCAAAGTATATTGACGGTTTGTGATGAATGTTACCTACTGTCAACAAACTCCCCCACACTTAGGCTTTTACTCGTCCTCGATAAAAGGATGGATTACTTAAGACATAACCTTAGGACAAGACGTCAACATAAAACTATTTCCAATCATACATGCATTGCAGGATTCAAAGTGTCTACCATGAAACTTTGGGCAGTTGAAGAATGGAACAGCTTGAAATAGATCATCATCCTCCTTCAGTCAAGTCAATTGGAGAAACATTTGAAGATTTGTGAAAACAAAACAATAACTTACCTTCTCCTTTTTTGGTACTCTCAAATCATTCAGTATATGTGGTATTTTTAGATCCTCATCAAGGCATAGATGTTCTTGCCTTCCTTCTGCCTACTTCTAAAAAGCTTACGTGGAGCTTAGGTAGGGATAAATATGAAAACATACTTGCATTGCATATATTGTAAAGTCAAAACAAGGATCTAAGGAGAAAAATGTCATACTCTTAGATCAAGATGTACATGTGTGTGGATATGTAACTATGCTCCTTTGAACATATCTCTCTTGATTGAAATTTTAAAAACATTTTTGCAAAAAGTCATGGGCTATCTTATTCATCTCTCTTTTTATGGCGGATATCTGAGTACCCATTATTTTAGATATCTCAGACACTTGTCCATTTTTTCTTCAAGACTCTCTTTTTTTCTTTTTTTATGAATAACTCTTGCATAGCCCATGCCTCTTTTCTATAATTGAAACTTTTCAAGAGAGACATTTACCATAACTTGGAGCATTTATCTTAACGATCTTATTTTTGTGTCTATTCCCGGTGTAGGAGTAGAAACATGTGTGAAAATAACTAAATCTAACATAACCCAACTTCGCAACAAGGCTTAGATAATAGGAGTATAAAGGAGATTGCAAGGGTCTTCTAGTTCTAACTTCGGTAAGCTATGTTTTTTATTGTTCAATTCTAGGGATATTACTAAAGAAAACATAGGCAAAGTATGTTTCCTATAGTAACAAGGTCCTGCTAGGCCTACAAACGGGAGGTACTACAAAGGATTCAATGAGGCTATAAGAGTCACCCTCATAAGCTGCCACTGATCCAGAAAAGTAGGGTACATCCATGAGTAACCGAGTCTAAGCACCACCCTTGCACTATGAATACTACTTTAATCCAGGAGCTACAAGGATTAAAGTACTCAAAGAGAGTCATAAACCTAAAGAACAATATGAACAAGATGCTTACTTGAATTAGAAGTTGATTACCAGAGAATCTCAGAAGCAAGCTCAAGAAGAACTTGATTCTGCTAGGGTATAAGTCGTGGAGAGAGCATCGATAGACCGACACTTCCTCCAAAGTCTTCCCTCTCACTCTATCTCTCTATCTCTAATACAAGACTAAATCCTATTGAGGACTAATCTTCTCTTGATTGCTAGCTCCGATCCTAGAGGAAATAGGAATTAGGGTTTTTGGCCCTCAGGCTCTCAGGATCATTGCCTTCTGAATATGCCTGGAGGAGGGGGGGTATAGGCAGGTATATATAGGACCCTTCAAGCATCCTGGACTTTTGGATCAAACTGACTTAAAAGAATAGCGTAGATGTGATCCTAGAGGTGGTGAAGACCAACGTAGCGAGGAGGGACCGATAGGTGGGACCCATAAGCCGGTCGGCTTGTCAGTGGGGCCGACTGGCCCCACATGGCAGTGGCTTTGGCCCTGCTTTAGTGGAAAGTCTCCTAGAGTCTTCTAGAGTCTTCCTACGTTGGTCCCACTATGGAATTCTGTGATTTCCTTTGACGAATAGGTCCTCCTTGGTGGTTTTCTGATTAAATCCTATTGAAAACATGGATTCACCAAAACTCATGGATTTTGTCAGTCAAAACCTCTAAGTTTATGTTGGTGATTCATTTTAGTCATTTATGCAAAGTATATTGATGGTTTGTGATGAATGTTAACTACCATCAACAAACTCCCCACACTTAAGCTTTTACTAATCCTCGATAAAAGGATGGATTACTTAAGACATAACCTTAGGACAAGACATCAACATAAAACAATTTCTAGTCATACATGCACTACAGGATTCAAAGTGTCTACCATGAAACTTTGGGCGGTTGAAGAATGGAACAGCTTGAAATAAATCATCCTCCTCCTTCAGTCAAGTCAATTGGAGAAACATTTTAAGATTTATGAAAACAAAACAATAACTTACCTTCTCCTTTTTTGGTACTCTCAAATCACTCAGTATATGTGGTATTTTTGGATCCTCACCAAGGCATAGATGTTCTTGCCTTCTTTCTGCCTACTTCTAAAAAGCTTATGTGGAGGTCAGGTAGGG